AGAGCGGAGAGCAAATTGTTAGCGGCGCGTGGTGACGATGCTGGGATGTAAAGTGGCAGTTCAGCCTCTGCAGCAGTTCTGGGGCGGGCATGCAGCTGGCACGGGGGAAGGCAGCGCTGTCTGTGAAATGGAGAAATGGAGTCTGGTGGCATGAAACAAACAAACAAAACCACTTTAAAAGCCAGATGCACGAAGATGACTGTTTTGTTGCTGGTCTGGCGAGGGTGGATGTCTTCAGTATAGTTTTCTTTTGATAATATAGATGGAAAAGTTGATACTTTCCTTAGCTGTTGCCTTAGTCTGTGTGGAAGTCTAACCAGGATGGGGCAGGAAGCCGCTGGGAATGAGATCCATGGCTGCACAGATGTCGCCTGCTCTGCGGAGTTAGGTTAGGCTTGTGCCACGGCAGGGATAGTTGAGTTTTCTCTCAGGGATTTGCTTGGATTGGCACCTTCCCGCAGGAGGGACCAGTAGGCTGCTGTGTGGATGAAGTGTCTGGTTTGATTTGGACTGAGCAGCACTGCTAAAACTGGAAAAAAATATTTCCTTCCAAATCTGCAAACTTCTCTTGTCTCTGGAGAGACACTTGCTTCCAGGAAAGCTCCTTGTTCTCTGGTTGACCTTCACAAATTATCCCTCCCAGAGCAGATTTGATTGTCTTCCTTTGAAGCTTGGTGCTATATCGCAGGGAGCGAGTGACCCTTTATTTTTTTAAAAAAAACTCACCACTTTTATTGATAGGCCATTGCTCTGCTGTTTGTGTTGCAAGTCCGAGATTGCTGCATGACTTTTCTCGTTTCTTCAAAACCTTCTATTCCAGAAGAGCTTGAAACAACGCCTCGGTAAAAGTAACATTCAGGCACGACTGGGCCGGCCGGCGGGACCCCTCGCCCGCGGTGCCATGGGAGGAAGAGGGCTGTCCATGGGGCAGAGGGGCTTGCCGCGAGGAGCCATGCGTGGTGGCCGGGGGGCACGGGCTCTGCTGAGAGGAGGAATCCCACTCCGAGGTGAGTACCGTGGCTGAGCCGGAGTTGCGTGTGTGCCAGTAACGCTGTTTTTTTTTTTTTATCAGTGTGAGTCTCGATTGTGTCACTGGGTCTGAAAACTGAATTTCTTTTGATTTGAATTCCCTTTCTCTGTGGAAGGTCAGAGCCTGCTTCGTGGAGGACGAGGTATATCCCCCAGGATGGGCCTGAGAAGAGGGGGCCTGAGGGGTCGCGGTGGTCCTGGAAGAGGCGGTCTGGGCAGAGGTGCCATGGGCCGTGGAGGACTGGGAGGCAGAGGTGAGTGTGCACGAGCTTCAGGAGTGACATGTTGCTGCTGAGTAAGCATAAAGAAGCTTTAATTCTTTTTCCTGTTTAAGGCTCGTGCGTGTTAAGTACCTGCAGCCCCAAAACCTCTCTCTTCTTGAATCCGTGTGCAGCGTGGTGCTAAATTAAGGCTTTTTGCTGAAGTATTTTGCCAAGCCTTATGCCGAACTGAGATCCTTGACTCTGTCAGTGTTGCTAGAGGGGCTCTGGGGACTGTCAGACACTGCAGGTATCGCCAGCTGGGTGATGCTTGGGATAGTAGTCGAGGCAGTGAGTGAGCTTCAATAATCAGTGAGGGAGAAAATTTAGCAGAGGAGAAAGCCTAAACCCTTGCAAAATAAACTTAAATTCCAAGTCTGAAACTGAAGCAAGTCTTGGGTAGATGAACTCTCTTATTTTCAACAACAAATCAGAGAGGCGGTAAAGCGGGAGCGCGAGAGGAAGTACAAGAGACAGCTGTTGATGGGAGGGTTGTTAATGTTTCAGACAGATGTTCGGTTAGAACATCAGCCAGACGTGCTCTCCTGGTACTTTGGGATCGGCCCAACGTTTGTAGGAGTTAGAACAGTTATTGGGAAGCAGCTTATCTCTTGACAGCTTTGGCGTGTGGCTTTAGCTCGATTCCATAGCCTGACGAACACACGCTGATCGGAGTGGGCTCTGGGATATGCTGCTGCCAAAGTGGCCTGAAAACCTCTCGATTTTAACTACTTGTCTGTAGGGAAAAAAAAAAAAAAATTACTCGGAATGGGTGTTGGCATTGGTGCTTTGCCAGAGGCTTCAGCCAGACCCGGAGGCGTACGGGATCTCGGGGTACGCTCGGTGCGGGTGGGACTGGAACAGGAGCAGGGGAGGTGGGAGCTCTTGGTCGTGGGTCAGATGTCTGTCTGGGCTTCTGGACTGAAGGAGAAGAAGCCCGGGGAGCTAATCCAGCACGGCAAAACGCGACCTGCTGCGGGCGCGGGAGGCAGGCCGAGGGGTGGTGCGGCACCGGTGCTGCAGCGTTTCCCCGCGGAGGTGCCGGAGCAGCTCTGCCGTGCCGTCCAGGCTCTGCCGCGGCAAACCCCGAGGGCTCGGTCCGGCGGAGCACCTGACCGTCATCTTGTCTCCCTTGTAAGGTCGCGGCATGGCGGGAGCTTCGGAGGTCGCGGCAGAGGCCGAGGCCGAGGAAGAGGATCGGCACGTCCCGCGTTGACCAAGGAGCAGCTGGACAACCAGTTGGATGCTTACATGTCGAAAACGAAAGGACACCTGGATGCTGAGCTGGATGCTTACATGGCTCAGACAGACCCGGAGACAAACGACTGAATGTTGTTCCCAGAGACTGTTGGTGACCTGAAGTGTGTTATGTCGCTGCCCATAAGCTAAAAACGGAATCCCTGATCCGTGCTGGAAGGACCCGCAGGAATAGGGAGCGCCCTGTTCTCCCGAGAGATCCGACTTTAGTACGTTCCTTTAGCGTTTTGATACTATCTGTTGTATTAAACTTTTTTTTTTTTGATTTCTTTTAATATCTTTTCCTCCTTTCCCTGAGTACTCCAAACACGAGTGTGACGGATCCGCTGCAGTTAACCCGCTGACATCAGCGCCGGTGACTCGCCGCACGTTCGGCCACACGCTCCTCTGTGCTGGGATCCCGCGTTCTTGTGCCTCTTGAGCTCCGCGGTTGCGTTTTGGGATCGGCCCTGGCCCCCCGGCGCGACCGATGGGCCGAGTTTGCGCCCGTGGTTCAGTTCAACCCATCCAAAACAAAAAAAAACCACCCAAAACTCCCAGCAAAAGCGAACAGTCAGGTCGGGATTAGTTGTTGTGCTCCTCGTAGATGCTTTTTTTCTGTCTACAAAGACACTTTTTACTTGTGGACCGATTTTTCTTGTTTTTGCACCAAAACTTCTCTTCTGTTGGTAGGCAGTGTTGTGCTAACGCCTCACGCAGAGCACTTGCCGGGTCGAAAACGTCCTCGGTTTGTTTTTTTTGGTTTTAGAGAAAAGTTTGGATTTCTTTTGCGTTGTGTTTGGACAGATGGCACCGAGTTGCTTCTTTATCTGCAAGAAAACAAATGTTTATTTAAAGGAATTGGAAGCAGGAACAGGAAATTACAGCCGCGACAGCAAAGCGTGGTAGAACTGTCTCTTTTAATAAAAAAAACAACCACGGGGTCCGAAATTCCTCCGTTACCTTTTCGGTGTAACCAAAACCGCGTCCTCCGGTCAGACCGACTGCCTGCACTTGCCCCGCAGGGTTGGGGAAGGGGTGTCTGTCCCTCTCCCCCTCTCCTCACGTTTTAAGTTCAGCCATTCTGTGAACTGGTCCCAGTTTCACTGGAATC